TAGGTAGCCACTTGTAAATTTGACCATCGCCAGCAAACAGTTGGGCCTAAGAATGGAGAAAGTTTGATGCAAATTGGAGAAAACAGGGAATTTTCCCAAGGCATTCAAAACTAACTTCATGAATGAACATTCACGCGCCCTCGTTCCAAATTTTCCAACTTCTAAGCTAATGTAGGCAATTTCTTCAAAGTTTCACCACCTATTGAAAGCAGATGGACCTCACAGGGGGGAAAATTTTATTAATATCAATATAAATGTTGATTTTTGCTAGCCATGCCAATATTAGCCTCAAAGTGAATCTTTAAACGATTGCCTGCCCTCATTTAAAGGCTCACAACTTTTACTAAGGGCCACTTAGCCGTTTCAGGAATTCAACATCTATAGCAAATAGCTGGATGCCAACGTGGTCAAAATTTGATTAAAGTCCCATCAAGTACTGACTTGCCAGCGCAGACAATGCGGAGCGAAAAATGCAACTTGACTAACAATCGCCTGCTCTCCTTTAAAAATGTGCAGCTTCCAATCAAGAGCAGGTAGGCCCTTTGCTTTTTCACCACTTGTAGGACAAAGGCAGTTCTGATAGTCGCTAAAATTTCAACAAGCTCGGGATAAATACTGATTTTTGCCAGCCATGTAAAAGTGAATGTTTCCAAATTTTAAAAAAATCTTGTTGAAATTGCCAATCCTTCAAATCCCATTCTGCACTTTCATTATGCACAATTGCAGCAAACACCCAAAAAAAATCAGCCTTCATTTGCACGTGATCGCATTTGAATGAACATTGTTGCAATGCAAATGAATTCCCAAAAATGTTGCAGCTTTGAATGTAAAAACCCATGAGAACCTGTTGAGATTTTCGTATGTAATTGAGGTGTTGACATGCTTGGCGCTGTTCCAAAAACCGGATTTCACCGCCGAATATCGACAGAATTCCCCCAGATTGAACACCCAATCAAATCCGTATGGAATATGACATAATATTCAATTGAAATGATAATTATGTGAAATATTCCAGCGATAAGGGAGAGCATGCCAACATTGTATGTCCACGTCTAAACTTACAAATGAATGAAACATTGCGATATTTAATCACGATTCTGTGTGCTGACTTTGTTATTAATGCTTGTTCATTAAGTCTGATATTGAGCTTATAAGTATTCAATATTTTGCATTAATTTGTTTACCAATCGCTTTTTGCTCATGCTGGAGTCTATTTAAATACCATGATCTGCACTCTGCACATATACGCGATTGATGATTTAATGGACTTATTAAATACATTTTCAAAAAAACTGAACTGATCCAGACTTGGATGGCTAAAGTTGGGGATTTAACGTGAAAACCTGCATAATTTTCGAGTTTGCATCGAAAAAAAATTGATGAGCACTAGACGGATTTTTGAATGGGAAACCAAGGCGCCAATGATATGAATGTGTTGTTGGCGTTGCTCCAAACCAAAACAACATTATTCTCAAAATACTTGATACGATTATGCATTTTTTCAATCCCGATTTAATTCTGCCAGTGGATTGCAAGCAAAACCAAATTTAAATTTGTCGCCGAGATAATACGATTGCAGTGCACTTTTTAAGGAAAACCATTCATTTTCCCTACATTGTGCGGAAAATTTATTGTTCCGCGCCACGCTACAGCTGGTTAGCTATTTCAATAAGCTCTTTCTATGGAACTTTCTTTTGGATTTTTGCAGTCCAGGATATAATTAGAAAATTCATTTTTCCTCGATAGTTGTATATATAATATTTTATTTTCTAGCATTAACAATGAATGAGGTCCGATTAGCCTCAGGCTGGGCTCGGTTTTCTCCGATTTTCTTAATGTTTCTGCTCCAGATCTGCCATTCAACGGGAACCCAGCATCTTTTTTTGCCAATCCGTAGCCTGTTTAGACCTACAGGCGCATTTGTTGCTTCTCTTAATGCTTTTCCTGGTTATGTTTTTCAGTGTGCAAAATCAATTTAAGCAGTATTTTTTTCGAAAAACTTTACAATAGGGAGCACACTGATCACGGAGCGTATTTATGTATTTTTCCAATTTGAATTTCGATTCAAAATAGCGTCTTCAAGTTGTCAATTGAAGCAGCCAGTGAGTAAAAGCCAAATGAAAATAAATCAATGACGAAATCATGCTTTCAGTAAACACAGACTTCATTCAAATAAATCAATTGCGAGAATATCAAAACAACGCCGATGTTATTTTTAATTCTAAAAGAGCCGAATTCTTAGCTGCGATAGCCTCTAACAAGCTGGGAAGTAGAGAGAGTCTATATTTGTCCCTGGAAAAGAAACATGCTTAATTCCGTGTCCACATAAATCTCCACTAGAAGATTTATGAGGGCTTTTCCATCAGCGACTACTTTAAGTGTCATTATTTTCAAAACTATTGATATTCCTAGTGAAGAAATCACTAGTCCTGGTAAACTTTCATTTAGCCCAACTGTTTTCCCGTATAGATAAGCAGATATAGAGAAAATTCAGTAGTTGTCAGCACTCCTATTAGCGTCATTTAATCGAGTATTGTCGCATGCTTCCATGAGCAATAAAACATGGCAATAAAACGCCAACTATAAAGATTAACGACAGATTCAATAATGGAACGTTATTTTCAAATGGGTGTCTTTTTAGCCCAACCCTGATCAAGGATTTTTGCAACTAGTTTTAAATTGGTGGGTGACACCTACAAAGCCCATTACCATATCCAAACAAAACGTCTATCTAGCGTGCATTTGTCTACCTACTCGCAAAATTTCAGGTAGAATAACCATGATTTGTTCAAAGTGAGTATGTCGCATTTTGCGCTCTTAATTGTATACAAAGAGTTCGGAAATTATGGACAAAAATCGTCTGGTTTGCAGCATTTGGGGTCAGAAGACTGGGAAACCTTGGGGTTTCCAAGGCAAGGCTCTTTGAGCGGATCAGAAGCTGCTGAAGCTATGTGTTAAATTCCGTTCAGAATAACCCGAAGCTCATGAGGTTAATTGCTGCACAAGAAAACGCTTAAGTTCAGTGAACGAAGTTTTGAAGGAGTTTCTGTTGCCGCATCAGCTTCCAAAGATCCATCCTTGAAGTGCATAATCAGGGGAAGAGTTTGGTAAAAATTCTGCTCTTCACAATTGAATAAAAACCTTCCAGGGATTGATTTCCCTGGAAGAAACTCCCCAATACGCTCATTTATAGTGTTTGTGCCTACAATAAGGAAAATTCGTCAGTTGAAGATCGTCAATGCCCCCAAAACTGCCTAAAATGAGTCGAAAAAGTCGATTCGGGCCTTTTCTGGTTTGAAGCTTGCAATGTGTTTTTTCATGAGTTCGATGGATTCCTCGGTTCCTTCCAATGAAAATGCTGTAAAATTTAAATCATTTTGCAAAGAATCGACCCCCACAACATTTATGAAATTTTCGGTAAACATTTAACAGTTTTCTTGCGTTTTTCAGTACAATAGATTTCTTTCCTCGAAAAAAGTCCCCAATTTGCACATTTAAGGGCTTTAATGACTGGAAAAACTCAGCTCTAACCGAAAATGTGTGCATAAACCGAGCGATTTGTGGAAACTTCCATCTTGAAGCCGCTTCTCTTGGGAGCCAGTAGCTTCCAAAATGTACTTTCTTAAAGGCTCATTTTCAAGCAAAACGTGTGTGTAACTTATCTTAGTTTTACACCCTTTATCTTTCAGATATTTTTTTTTTCTGATTTTTCAGATCTTTCAAGAGTTTCATACTTCATACTCTGAGTTAAGTTTTTACGCAAAATTGTGTTTGAAAGCCGCTTACCTACAGAGCGTAACAGTTTTCATAAGTGTATTAGAGTGTATTACTCTTTTTTGTGTTATCAACCAATTTTATTGCTGAAAATGTGCTATTTTTGCAAAAATGCACATTAAAGAAGGCTGCAGGCGGAAAGAAAATATAAAATCCACTTTTTTACTACGATTTTTTTAAGGAATCATTTGCCATTTCCTTTAAAATATTCTTTATTATTATGGTGAATCTTTAAACGAAATATTTCCAGAAGAAGATAGGGCAATGTTGGTTTGTAGATTGGACTCCTAGATCACCGGATTTAAAGCTGATGAAACCTTTCCTTTGAGGGCTTTTGACTTAAGTATATTTAACTTTCATGAACACTGTAGAACAACGAACCGACCGAATTATTAACAGAAGAATTAGTCTGTTCATAGAGGACTGTTGTCCAAGCGTTTAATTATTTTTCAGATTTTTTTTTTCAAGACACCGTAAAATACTTTTTGTGTTTTATACTGAATATCATTGTTCAGTTTTTAGAGATGGAACCGAGTGTTTTTATCGCTTTTATTACGGATTACGATGCAAATGTTCCAAAACAATCGACCAATAAACAAATGGTATAAAAAAGCCCTTTTGCGTTACAATTTAATGTCCTGCAACTCAGTTATTTTCGAGATTTTGGAAATCTGCAAGCATAAATGTAAAATCATCCTGTAATGCAAAAGAGCCTACTTTTGCTCGGTACGAAAACCTTTGCAACAAATAATCCTAAATGCGGCAACTGGGGGACTTTCGCACTGGAATCAGCGGGCATAAGGGAGCTTTCGCGCTTGAATAGACGGGCGTAAAGGAGCTTTCGCACTTATTTATGTTCTAATTATCAGGATGTAGGGATTGTTTTTTCGTGATTAATTCTTCGCATTTGCATTTCAGCGCATTTTTAACTGAGCTAAACTAAGGACCAAATTAACAAACCTGTATTATTCCGCAGGAAAGTTCCAACAAGGTTCCAAGTTGCGTATTAATGCAAGTCAATCCCTATTCCAAACACGGGCAAACTGCAGCTGGTGCTTTAGGAAAGCTGGGGCGAAAAGTTCGTAGTTTTAGCGATTTTCCAACTTCTTAGTGAACTTTGTTATTGAAGTTTTAACTTGGCTTTGTCACTTGCATTCCGGGCATTTCCCGTTTTACTTTGCGCGAGCTTTCCTATGAATTGTGAAGAATTTTTTTGGATGTTTCAGATAATGAGGGCCAATGTTTGGACGCTGTCTTTGGCCGTGTTTTTGAGCTCTCTTAGCTACTGCCATGCGTGCAGTTGCATGATTTCGCATCCGCAGGATCATTACTGTAGATCGGACTTTGGTAAGTAAGTACCCAGTTACTGGAACTGATATCATATTGAATTCCCTCCAGAAAAACTGACCGTTGATAAAGAATTTAAGAAAATCCCTCATAAACAAGCCAACATTCCACTGCGCTAAAACAATAAAATTTCAACTAGTAATTTAATATTAATCTCTCTGACCGAAACACATTTTTCTGGTTGTTCGGGATATTCAAATTACCGCAAATATGCGGAACGCAAACAAGTTTGAGCAAACAGTTGCGGCATTGAAACGCAGATTTCCGCTCTGATCAAGCTTTACAACTAACTAGAAACACTTTTTGCGCAATTTAGCTCAAGTTTTCCAGTATCAGCAATCGCTATTGCGATCTCCTAGTAAAGCCCTAAAAGTGCAGGTAAAACCTCGAAAAGCTGCACAAAATCGAACGCTCTCAAGCGAGCTTTCCACCTGCTCTTCTAGCAGACTAAAAAGGTCTCAGAAATGTCTGCATTCTCTGGAGTTGGAAAATGAATTGTCGGTTATACTAGAGAAAATCTTTAAACATCCTTTCTGGCCGCATTTATATATACGAAACTAGAACATTACACTTTACGAGCATCTGTTTGCTGAAAACATTTTGTGTAGGTACACATTAAAATTCGGTATTATGAGCAAGAACGAAAACAACGTTTTGCGTCAGAAATTGTTCAGCTTAATATTAAATTACCGAATCTAAATATTAATGCTTTTAATTAGCGGATGTGTGCATTGCCTGTTGCATTACTTAACTGTGATTAATTTGGGGAACAGTTTTATTTTAATCGCAAGTATATTTGCGAATCCTTTAGATGTTTTTCAATGTATTTTTGGCCATACATTTTTTTAGATAAGCTAAGACGCATTTGGAAACAATGTAACAGAACAATCACGGTTTTATTATTTTTTCGATCTGAAATTTTCCCGTATTCTGTTCGAAGGAACCTTGCACAATGTGAGTCGCTTACAGAAGTTTCTCTTCGATTTTTACCGCTCGCGTTATTTTATTCGAATTGAGCCTAGAAATAAAACTCTTGGTAATTACATTGCGAAGATATCGACTTAAATATATGTTTACCAAAGGTAATTTCCTTTAATGTTCCTAGGCGCTCAAGGCGCTATAATGATACGAACAAACATCGATAGAGTGTCATTATTCATTATTTTTCTCAGGCTTATTATAGAAGATTAATGACGGGGATTTCATAAATTATACCGATTTGGAGGCATGATACGGGCCATTTTGCATATTCGTGATTCAGTCAATCAGTTTAAGCACTAGAAACACAACTATTTAATTGAGCAGTAAAATGAACGAAAACGTGCCTGAATTTATCAAATATTGGAAAAACACTGGGTTTCTTGGGCTAAAGTTTCAGCTACATTTTAACACCCAGCATTGCGTGAGCCCAAGGAAAACAGAGTTTGTTCCCGCGAACTGTTGATCGAAAACACCACCATTTTCGTAAATTTCCACTGCGGCAAAAATGCAAAATTAATAACAAAAGTCGCAAAGAAATTGCAAAACCATAAACCATTTCAACCTGAATACAAGCGATTGAATAATAGTGCGCGATTAGCATGTATTTATTACCGGTGACTTCGAAAATAATATTATTAGCCATTTGCTATTGTTTAGTCCTTTCGGTAATTGACAACATAAAGCTTCTGGAATAACATATTTATGTTCGTGGCACTGATTTACTTATAGACGCTAACGATCCTGTCGATTCCGATTTTTACTATGAAATGTTTACCTTAAAATGCAGCCTTTCTAATAGAAAACATCCGACGTTTGTTGAAAAGTTCAGATATTCAACATGATTATTTGAAAAATAGAACCTTGGCATGTTTTTAGGCAGTTTTAGTAAATTAAAAATAATTATACAGTCATCCTCTGATGCTTTACTAAACTTTAAAGTCCATATTTTTTCAGTGATCCTTGCCAGAGTGAAAAAGGAACAAATTACTGTATCGACTGGCTCCATAGTGTACAAAGTCCGCGTGAGGAAGGAGTTCAAGATATCGGAAAAAGGATTAGTGGCTTTAAAGTCCGGGAAAATCCATACCAGCATCTACGGGTCCATGTGTGGAGTGCAGCTTACTATTGGGAAATTGTACGTTCTTTCTGGAACTATTAACAGTTTAAGGGTAAGAAACCTTCCTGCATTCGAGAAATTATTGCATCTTGATCTTTTTCTCATATGGATAATAACTTTGTTGGCACTCAAACCGCAAATAAAGCCATAATTTAAATTGGAATTTAGTCAACACCTTTCACAGCCATGTTCACAGCTTCAAAATGGATTTTCGCATAAAAGCGACATCGAGCATTCGAATCGTTGCCAATAAAAATTGGTTCCATCCTGAGCAGCCAGAAAGGCATCAAATTCGTAAAAGGGATTTACGGGTAACGAACGATCGGGTATTGAGAAAAGTGGGAACATTTGCTGATTTATTAGGGAAGATAAGAGAATTCACAAGTTCTCTAAACGGATCTTTGTTCCATTTAATTTCAAACAGAATCGATGTCTTTTTCGATTGCTAATTGAAAAAGAGCCTTAATTAGAAACTATCCTACTCTGCTCCAAATAGTTGTTTTAATGCTGGAGCTTTAGAGCCTTGCGAGACACAAAGTTGACTTTAGGTCTAAAAAAGTTTCAGAAAATATTTTCGTAAAAATGGCTCAATTGATAAAATGAATCAACTTCAAATCGGTTCGTCAATCAATCTTCAAAAACTGTTTAAAAACAAATTTTCTTCGACGAATTATATAAAAAAAACTGACTAATTTTTAAGGCTTACGTGAATGCGTGCAACATGATAGAAGAATGGAAGCACCTGACGAAAAGGCAAAGGAAAGGCTTGAAATTAATGTACAAGCATGGCTGCAGCTGCAAGGTGAAAAATTGCCTCTATCACAGATGCAACAACAGTTTCAAGCAACGGGACAGCTGCGTTTGGAACAGCACATGTGAAACATTGGATGTAAGTTTCGGCGAATAAAAAATAGTTTCCATTCAAAGAGTTCATGCCTCTAGTAGAATTGCACTTCAAGCCTCATTGTGACTTATTGCCATTTGTTTAAGGGTATTTGTCTACGTCAAGCAAACGGATCGTGTATGTGGAACAAAAACAAAATGCTAACAGCCTGCAGAGTGAGAAACGGATTGGTGCATGGAAATTCTTCAGTAGCAGCCGGAAATCCACATTATCATCCATCACCACCTCGATTGCCCCTCGAACCTTGAACGATTTTCCCCGGCGTATTTTGCCAAAATAGTTGCCCTCCTAATTGCATTTGTATTAATGTATTAAATGCAGTTAAGTGTTGATGTATAAATTTTAAAAATGATTTGTGAAAATGCACAAAACCCCGATATTTATTTAAGCTACATTGTTCTATTTTTAGGTAAATCCCTGCGGTCTAAGGATTCGCGATTAACACGTCCATTCAAGCTGTTGTATGAAGAACCCCATTTATATGGGGTTTTGTAATGCAATTAAATTAATTTATTGGTTCATTTGTTTTGCGTTTTGTCTGCACTTACCATTTCTGTGTGGTCGGGGTAAAACGTTTGTTCGATCAGCGGAAAACTGTCCTTTCCTAATCGTCTTTGCAGTTGCACTAAATGTCCGAAAACCCACGGTTTATCCTGCGGAGGAAAAACTGTTTTTAATTTGTTGTGCATGAGTTTTTCGGAGGTTCGTTATCAGGAATTTTCATCCATTTTATTTTATAATATTTCAATTGTTTGCACTAGTTAGCCCATGATAATCAGCAAATGAAACACCGTGGAAACTGGCAATTAGTGATCGAATTTTACATAAAACGCACTATTTTCTCTGAAATGGTGTTGGATTTATTTTAATTGAATTCTCACTTGCCTGAAAGTTGTAAATCGCATTCAGATTATTGATGCTGGGAACTCCGCCAAACTTCATGGCCAGCAGCAGTTTTTTGTGATCTTCACCGGCGTCTTTGAGATTTTGCCTGACCTAATGAGGAGTTGGGAAAAAAGTGTTTAAAACCCTTTCTATATCCACAAGTACATAAAAACTTTGGCAATTTTTCCATCACTCTAAAGCTGGGTGATTTACTTGAACGAACTTTAGTAAAATTGATTAAAACTTTGCATGTTGACGACATGCTATGGAAATTTCCTTACCCGAAACTATTTTTATGAAAATCCAGGCAAAAATATTGTTTACTGCGATCAATTTTACAGGATTTTTTAATTTAATACACATGTTTTTGTATAAAGCTGCCACATAAATGTGGCCAATATTTGTTGCTTTCGTTTTAAGTCGRACCATTTGAATCTTGTTGAATTTGAATTTATCGTTACTAACAGTATTGTTGATTTGTAGCTCTTAGTTAATTTATGTGTTACCTAAAGATTGTACCTATTAAGAGTTGTTGTACAAAGCTTCCTAATGATATATTGTTTAGTTTCTTTATATGTTGATTTATTGTAAAGTTCTCAGAAACCTTTGTCTTATTAATAAAAACTCTTATTTCTCAAGCATGTTTTGCTGTTTTCTTGTATTTGGTCTTGTCGCTATAACAAATATGATTATAAAACTGCGACAAAAATGTTCTATTGCTATGCAAAATTTTTCCGTTTATAAATGGGCTTAAAGATTTCCACTTGAATCCCCTTCTATTCGTTTGGCTTTTTCGGGTGCAAAACTATACAAAAAAAAATTTGCCAGTCGAAAATTTCTCACTAAGTTTAGAGTAATTCCGGGAGAGATGAACCACCTTTTTTGATCGACCTGTATTCACAAAAAATAGCTTTATTGACGTAAAAAAATTTTGTCACAAACATTTTAACTAACTGCAATCAGAACTGTAACTAAAGACTAAAAACTCGGATACATTTGCTGACAAAAAAATAAAATAAAAAACAGTTATGTGGTCCAACTAACCCGAAATCTGCGGGATAGTTGAACCACCAATTTGGGACAGTTGGACGACACAGGGAGAGATGAACCGTAACAAAAGATAAAGAACAAAATTAAACTTGATTAATTTTTTTAAATTTTTTAATTAATAAGCTTTTTTGCGGCATTTATTCCACATATTTTCAAAGTTTGTACACGACTCATGAAACACCTTCAGCAACTCTTATGCTAAGATCTGAATGAGTCGTATTCTGCCATTTTTGTGATTGCGTTAAAACGAT